CAGAGAAAACTATTCCGAGTGGAAGGTACAAAGTGGAAGGCTATTTCATTCCCAGATAATGCCTTTCACATAGGCAAATACTACCATTATACAACTGTTGTGTCATCATGCAGCTGTCCCACAGTGCTTCAACCCTAAGAGGACCTCAGCATTTACTGCCTGTTGTGCTTGAGCTGTCACATGTAAAATGGCTGGTCGGTGCTAGGGTGAAATGTGCCTTCCACTTGGCTCATTAACTGAGGTGCCCCTCACTGAGGCACTGAACAAATACAATGAGTTAGGTAAATCAGGCACAAGCTGTAAAACAGAAAAATATCTTAATCTTTCAGTAACCCTTCCCCCTGGTGTAAAAAGATATGCTAATAGTTGGGTGAACTTTCAAGATGCCTTTTTCTATAGTTCTTGATGCACCTTCTCTAGTAATAGCGACCAAGTAATTGTTTCTAAAGTGACCAGAAGTAAGCTTGTTATTCCCTAAGACTTCACTGTCAGAAAACCTGTCCAGGTTTTTAAAATATCTACTCAGAAAAAGAACAAACAACACTAAATGATTAACCTAAAACTCAATATGAGCATTCTAAGAGGAGGAATTTCACAAGTCCCTGAGTTGGGCTTCCTTTGGCACTAACCCTAGCATTACACAAAACAATAACCGACAATCACAAATGCAAGAGTTCCAGTTTGGGGCAGTGGCTAATTCTCCCTCCACTTGCTCAACACAACTATTCAGTGTCTACTATGTGTGTACAAGACCCTCTTCTAGGACATAGGTCAAAGCTGAGAATAAAGCAAAGTGCTAGCACTCGTGGATTTTACTTCTAGTCCAGAGATGAACAAACTACAGGCAGCCATGTTATCTGTTTTCATCAACAAAGTGTTACTGGCACAGAGCCACCCTCACTCATTTATGTCTATGGCTGTGTTCAGGTTACAATGACAAAGTTCAGTAGTTGCCATACAGGTGTATGGTCCACAACGCTGAAAATATTTACTATCAGGCCCTTCACAGAAAAGGTTTGCTGACCTCTGTTCTACTCTATGGTCTATAATTCCCTTGTGGCCTCATACCACCGTCCAGCATACAATCCTCCCTCAAAACACATTCCCCGCCCTTATTTATTGCTTGATAGCATTTACATGCTGGAAAGTCTCCCTCACTATACTGTAAAACCTTGCAATTAAGAGCTGTGTCATCATCTTTTACCACTCCCCTCCATAGCATGCAACACATACACAATCGGTAGACCACGGAATACTGAATACACAAAATGAAACCTAGGTAACAGGATTCCTGTCGAATCTATTACATTTTATTAAATGATGGTAAATCCTTTGGTTTCGTCTTATGAACGAGAGGCCAATGTCATTCCCACAGCAAGGAGTGTCATCCTTCCCTACCCTGTCTTACCACACACACACACACACACACACACACACAATCACAGACACACATGTATGCACGACTAATCTTCACTTTCTCCCAAGACCCTTGACCCTCCAACTTAGGGTTTGGGACTTCCATCACGTCCTCTACCCCTCTATCACAGAAAACAGTAAAGTGCTCTAGTTGTCTGAATCCCCCATTAAATTAGAAGGTTTTTGAGAACATAGGACATACCTCTATCACTAGCATCTTGCACAATGCCAAACACCTAGTAGACATTCAAATTTGTTGAATAAATAAATGAGTCTCCACATTTTCATAAATAATTATTTATAGGAAAATGAAATGTTTTCAATAAAAACAAATGTCAAGAAGAAAAAACTTATGGATAATAGGTATAGCCTGACTGGAGAGAATTCTTAATTACATTCCCTACTTATTGTATCATGTTTAAATAATACATCAGTCCTTTCCATTAGACTTTATCTTCCCTTCTTAGTGCGAAGGTGACGACAGTGCTGGGTGGGGGTGCAGCAACCGCCAGCACCCAAGAACACAGGCTGGGGAGGGAGGTGGGAGAAGAGAGGAGACACCTGGAGGGTGGGCAGATGGCTTCTATTAAGGAATAAGAAAACTGATTGAGCAAATCAGTTATTTATTAAGAATAATGAGAGCCAGGTTTTTCACTTTCTGAGAAGATGTTTTTCAAACATGAAAATGTGGAAATAACCATGGGNCACAAGTTAGAAAGTTAACTGATCAAAAAATTCTGTTTTTTTTTCAATTTCTCGCCTTCTTTTTTTTTGGACTCTATGCTGCAATTAATCAAAAGGCTGAAAGCAAGGCACTGTTGGGTGCTCCAGCACAGACCTCCCAAACTGCCCTCCAGGCTCTCTGACCTTGAGGGAGCCAACACAGGCAATGTGCACCTTTACCTGAGCCTCAAGCCTTCACTTTTGCCTTCAGCTCTATCTCCCTACCCTTTTGCACCCCATTACCTCAAATCGCAGCTGGTAGCTGTATGCCAATCACCTTATCACCTCCTGTTAATAAAGCTAATAAGATTTACTACTCCTAGGACAGAACCACAGCTAGCATAACTGCATGGGATCCATAGCACTTAGAACCAGACTGGACATGTAGCGATGCTCAACAAATAGCTGCTCTTGTAAAAGTGATCTTTAAAAGCACACTAAAACTGCAAAGAAAAAGCTTACTGATAATCTGTTATACTCACGAAGATTTGCCTCCACCGGTGGGTCCCAGAATGGCGTTGAGGCCAGGTCTCATGATCCCACTGTAAATGCAGAAATACACCAATTTACTGGTTAACTTTAAATCCGGTTCTACTAATTTAGGGTCTGAATTTAATATACACAATGAAAGTTGATGAAATTAGACAGAAAACAAGCACAATCCAACTTTTAAAGGAAAAAGAAACTGAACAGTTGATTAATAGAAGTCTAGTCTACAAAGGATGTCATCACTAGGCAGAACCTATAAGAAAAATGGCTCAGGTCCCTCTAAATTCCTTTCACTTATTCTCAACCACTTACACTTTTTTTTTTAAAGGACACATAAACTTTCAGAGTTCCTTAAAAAAGGACATTCTGATAAAACATCTGTTACATTTACTTCTCTTAACACAATGTAAAGTCTTGATAAATGTTTGATGATAATTATCTTCACATTGCCTCCTTTGCTACCTAGTTAAGTTCTGCACAATTAAGAATTCAGTGTGGCCAGCCGAGTGGCTCAGTTGGTTAAGAGTTGGCTTGGGAGCACGAGTTCTGAGCAGCAGGGCCACAAGTTCGGTTCCCACATGGGCCAGTGACGCTGCGCCCTCTACAGCTAAGATTGTGAACAACAGCTAGACCTGGACCTGGGCTGCCATAAGTCACCAGCGACAGCATAGGCTGCAGCCCCTGCTGCAGTGGGCTGCCCTGAGCTACTGTGGGTGGCCGGCAGCCAACTTGAGCGGCAGTCAGACAGCAAGAGCTGCCGTGAGCTGCTAT